TGTGTAATGCCCTTGTGATCTGCCCAGAGGCTTCCAAGCAGGGCGAGCTCCCCTGGGCCCGTGCCATGTCCGCGTTAGAGCTGTGCCCTGGGAGGCAGGGCTGGGGCTGTGTCTGCCTGGGGCCTCCCAAGGTAGGAAGGGATCACCCTGTGGTCTCTCATGGCTCTTGAGTTGATTCAGAAAGCTCTTCTTGCTGGAAACCCGTGGAAAAGCCATTCATTAGGCCATTTCCTTGGGTTTAGGTGAGCTGCAACAGGGATCCGAGCAGAACTCCAATGGAATTAACGCTAGCACAGAATCCGAGTGTTTATTTCAGCAAGGATCGTGATGGTTTTGCAAAAGCCACCCTTAATCTGAATTAAATTACTGAAATGAAGCATCTTGTGAGCAGATGAGGCCTGGGGACATCAGGCTTAAAGCCAGGTTAACCCAAATTCTAACCCAGCTCTGCAGGTGAGCCCTCAGAAACCGTCCCCAACTTCTGCAGCAACCACCCTCCAGGGAAAACCCTGATGCAGTTGTGAAAGAGCTTCAGAACTCACCTGGGAGGAAATGAGCCTTGGCTTGGGGCTGAAGGAACGGGTATGGAAGATAAAGTCTTAACTCTTTCCTCCCTAAAGGCTTCCTTTATAATCTGATGTAGGAACACCTAGCAGTAGAAGGAATGGGGGGAAGAAAGAGTTACTGGTGGGATAAATTCCCAGCTCCTTTTTGCTGTATAACCAAAGCCACCCTATGAACGTGGAGCAGCCAGGACAGCGTTGTGCAGTAATTAAAGTGTACCTCAGCTGGGTGTGCAGGTGCCAGTGGAGAGCTCCTCTGCAGTTCCTCTTTGCCAGGGTGAGATGTGCTGATTGCTGGGAGTGAGCTCATTCCACTTGACTTGGAGCACTCTGCTGCACCCGGGGCCTCGGGGTTCCCAGAACACATGGGATCGCTGCAGCAGCATCCTGCGTCCCTCCGGAGCGAGGGGCAGGCTGTGGAACACGAGATGTGGTACTGCACCTTGGGGATGTGGTACTGCACTACGGGGATGGCTCTGCAGCAAGCCCAAGGGTGTGTGTTGGGACGTGGGGAGGGAGGGCACCTCACCAAGGGACATCCAGCCCATGCTCTGGCCCTGCAGGGTGCTGAAGAAGCTCTGTGTAGATTGGATTATCTCTTGTTTACCAGGAATATCCATGTGCTTCCAGTCCTGTGAATACAGATGGGACTGAACAGCGAAATGCTGTGCCTTGAGCAAATTCATTGTGCCTTTCCTACACAAGGCTGCTTGTGATACTCCCTGCAGTTCATTACCAGGCTTCTGTGGCTGTGCCCTGGGCCAGGACAGGGAGGTGCTTGGTGCTGTGACCACAGCCCTGGAGGCTGTGGGGATCCCTGCTGGTGTGCCTGAGGCAGTGCTGTGGTCATGGAACCATAGAACCATGGAATGGGCTGGGTTGGAAGGGACCTTAAAGCTCACCCACTTCTAACCCTCATGGGGAGCTTCTCAACCAACCAGCCCACGTCCTGCTAGAGGATGCTCAGCTGATTCACAGCTAGTCTTGTGCTCCTGGTGTATCTGTACTGTCTGTAGGAAGAGCTGCTGTTCCAGACCTGGACTCAAGCCACTTGCAATCAAAGTTCAAATTCAGCTTGTTCTACGTTGTCTCACAAGGCTGGATCCCCTTGGAGCACTGTAGGACATGTTTTACAATACCAACAGCACTGCTATTTGAGAGATGTGTCTACTGATGATCTGATTTATAGTGGCTACTTTTAGCCAGTTCCATAATGGGTTTTAGGTGCTTCATCTGTTTCTATTGACCTGACACCCCCCCCCCCCCCATCTCATAGTGTTGCAAATCCATAAATCCACATTTTTTTCCCTCATCTGATTGTACTTTGTACTTATTAATAGGTAGGAAGAGAAGGGCTTTGACTTCCCATAGACCCAGATGGACCATTCCCAACCCAGCCTGCTTTAAAAAACCGCTGATACTGCAGGTTCCACATCCGTGTCTCTGTTGAGCTTTCTTCTTTGGAGCCTCTGCCTGTTCTTGGACTGTCATTTACCATTACCATTTACCATCACCATTTACCATCACTATTCTTAGACGATCATTTACCCTTGGTTTGCTGACACAAGATCCCTCCTGTGGTTTCTGCACTAAATCAGATTCCTGGTGACAGCGGCCCTGGAACACAGGGCAGTGATTCCCTTGAGGGATGTCCACTGTGTCCATGCGGCTCCCGAGCTGCTCCAGAGCATCTCCAGGTGAAGCAGGCCATGGCGAGAGGGCTCTCCTGGGAGCTTCTTCAGCCCCAGTGCTGCTGGTCCTGTACAGGGTGCTGAGGAACCCCAGTGCTGGATGCAGGGTGCCATAGGGTGGTAACACATCATCCCATGGCTCCTCCGTGGAACCTGTGCGGATAACGGAGCGGAGCTGTGCACAAGGCTGCCTTCCCTTTGTAGCACGGAGCTTACCGGGTGAGGGGATGCCGTTAGCGTCGGTGCGTTCATCCCTCTGGGTACTGAGGGGATGCCGTTAGCGTCGGTGCGTTCATCCCTCTGGGTACTGAGGGGATGCCGTTAGCGTCGGTGCGTTCATCCCTCTGGGTACTGAGGGGATGCCGTTAGCGTCGGTGCGTTCATCCCTCTGGGTACTGAGGGGATGCCGTTAGCGTCGGTGTGTTCATCCCTCTGGGTACTGAGGGGATGCCGTTAGCGTTGGTGTGTTCATCCCTCTGGGTACTGAGGGCTGCAGTGAATCCAACCTTAAACCAGCGAGGGATGCGGGGCTAACCGGGAGGGGCGGTGCTTCCCGTCACTCCCGGGCTGTGCCCGGTGGCATGCGCTGCGGGGCTGCGGGACTTCGGGACACCCGCTCCCCATCCCCATCCCCATCCCGTCCCCTCAGCACAGGGCACAAAATGGCGCTGAGGGCTGAGGGGCTCTCTGTTGATGCGGGCCGGGGCAGCGCTCGGGCGCCCCCTGCCGGGCGGGCGGCTCGCTCCCGCTTCCCCGCAGACAAAAGGCGGCGGCGGCGGCCCCGGCCCCGCCCTCCCTGCGCGGCGCGTAACTGCGCCTGCGCGGGGGGAGCCCGCTCCTCGGGGGGGGGGGGGGTACGATGTGCGCGGCGCATGCGCGCTCCCGCGCCGGCTCGGCGAAGGTTCCGGAGCTCGCGCGCGCCCCCGCCCCGCCCGCGCCGCCGCCGCCGCCGCTGTCACCGCCGCCCGGCTCCGGTGCGGACTCCCCCTGCGCGGCAGGTACGGGCTGGGCGGCGGGAGGAACGGAGCTGGGGGGGGTGCGGGTGCTGCGGGCACGGGCACCCGCTGTGTCCCGCTGTGTCCCGCTGTGTCCCGCTGTGTCCCGCTGTCCCCGCGCCCAGAGCGTGAAGCGGGTGAAAAGGGGTAAAAACCGCACTAAACCGCCCCAAACGTGGCTGCTCGGGCCCCGAAACCGGCGCGAAGGGGCGTGTCACCCGTGGTGCCGCTGCAGCAGAGCGAGGGGCGGCCCCTGCGGCAGCGCGGCCGCGGCTGCAGGTGCGCGGCGGGGCGGGATGGGGCAATAAGGGCGTTTTTTCGCGTTCTTCGCCCGTTTTCGCCGTTTTCCTGCCCCGGTGCCTGCGGCGGGCGCGGCCGGGGCTGTGGCGGCGGGGGGCTGCGGCAGGAGGGCGGGCAGCGCCTTCCCGCCCCGGCGCGGTGCCATCTTCTGCAGCCGCCCTCGGGGGGGGGGGGGCGCGCGGGGCGGTTGTAATTAACAACGGTCAGTTAATCAGTAGTAAGAAATCATGAGGAAAAGGTGGCTTAAAAACGGAGGCTGTCCACACCCTCCCCCACATTTTGGGGGTGGAAGCATTATGGAGGTTATGGTACCCCGGTGATGCCCTGCTTTGTGCATCCGCAGGGTAAGGGGTGTTGGTGTTTAACGTTAACGGTGGGTTCCTGCCCTGCTGAGCCCCGGGGTCTTTCCCTTTCTTTCCCCATGGGGTTGGGGATGCCGGTGCCCCATGGGTTGACAGTGGGGTGGTGGTACCTGGTGTAAATGGAGGTGTTGGCAGGTCCTCGATGTGCCTTATACCTCACCAGCATCCCCGTGTCATGGTGAAATTGCTCCTCTTGTCCCTGTCATCAGCCTCTTTCCATGCTGCTGTTCATTCTTGTCCCAAAATCACCCCAGGCGGGCCATGGGGCTGGCCCCGTTCTGGGCTTTGCCCTTATTCCCTTCAGCTGCTGGGTGTTTCTTTGTTTTAAATCTAACTTCACCATGTGGAAAGGGAAGTTTTCTCACCAGGTGTTTCCAGGCACGCTGTGTGGCATCCCCTGCCTTGGAGCAGTTAAAGCCGTGAAGAGCAGGAGCAGCTTGTTCCAGGTGAGGGATGGAGATTGCTGTCTGCATCCCTGTCTGCCCAGGGAAGGTTGGTTTGAGCCCTAGAGATGCAGTCCTGTTTGTTCGCAGAGGGAAGCTGCCATCGCTTTAAAGGGAGTTTCTCCTTCCATTTGCTGGTGGTACCACCAAGCGAGGTGCAGCTCCATTTGCAGCGAGGGGCTGGTCTTGCTTAGAAACGGTGTGGCTGGAAGGAGCTGCTGAGATGAGCTAAGCTGTCACTCCAGCTCTTGGTGTGCCGCGTTTTCCTGAGCTGCCCTGCCTTTATCTGTGTGGATCTGGGCACATGTCGAGTGTGTCTGAATGAGTGGAACAAAATTCACTACCGAGAAGCATTCATCTGGTGTGCTGAGCAACGGCTGCCCTCTTACAGCCGACAAAGGGGTTTTACCTTTGCTGCCAGTACCTCACATCTGGAGTATTTAATGGTTTTCCTTCTGCAGGTCAGGTTTTTTTGCTGGTTTTCTCAATCATAAGAGGTCTCAATTGGGCATTTACAAGCGAAGCCTGAGGGAAGGAAAATGAAAATCTCATTCTCTCTATAAATGAGAAATAGTCAAACCCAGAGAGAATCATGGAATGGTTGGGAAAGGACCTTAAAGCTCATCCAGTTCCACCCCTTGCCACAGGCAGGGACACCTTCCACTAGAGCAGGTTGCTCCAGCCTGGCCTTGAGCACTGCCAGGGATGGGGCAGTCACTTTGTTCCCTCTTGATATGCAAAATGCTTGGATTTACCCCAAGATATGTAACTTAAGGAGGAAGGCAGGGTGCTGGCTGACTTGCCTTCAGTGCACAGAGGTTTCCAGGCAGGTAATTCACACCTCATACAAGTATTGCATTGTCTCATTCATGCTCTAGATAGAGGAATGGTGTTTGAAAAGGGGTGTGTGGCTGTGGCATGCCTTCCTGTGCACCCCCCAGTATTAGCAGAGGTATCTCATGATGCTGAATGCTCTCAGAAATGAAGGCTTGTGTTCAGGGCTTTGGAATTACAGTGCAGGTGGGGGTTGTTGTTTGAGACCCATCTCTTGTGTTCCAGGGAAATGGAATGCTTGTGCCATAGGCTGGGTGCTTGGGTCTCCATCCTCCATAAGGCTTGACTGCAGCATCAGAAGGTATTAGGACAGTTGGGTCTTGAACATATAGAGCTTGAAATGAAGCACCTCGTGAGCTCTGGTGGTTTAAAAGGTTATTGGGCCATTACTGTGCACATGGAGGTGTCCAGTGCTGTGGGTCTTGTCTTCATCGTGCACAGCCAGGAGCTGATCCTTGAGAAACCTGAACTAAACCAGCTCTGCTTGTGTTAATGAGTGAAAGTGCACAGCATGGCTGTTACCATTTGAAGCCTTAAAATGACAGCCAGAGAGGCCCATATGGTCAGCCCTGCTCTGGAGCAGCTTGCTGCTGATCTGCAGCAGTGAACTTGTTGCAAAGGTCCCATCTGATGTGAACATGAGACAGATCAAGGTGCTGCGGTGTCTGCCTGGGAGAGCAAGGCTGTTTGCTGCTCTGGAAGGGGCAGGTGGCATCACTGATAAGATATGGACCTTTATCCTTCATCAGCTGGGATTAGCCAAGATGAGGACAGAAGCAACAGGACCTCTGTGTGCCCTGTGGGGAGCTTCCATGGGGAGGAGGTGGGTCTGCTCCCTTCAGGTGACAAGGTGCAGGTCACAAGTGCGACAGCATGGGGTTTGTGTCTCTCCCTCCCTCATTACTTGTCCTTTTCAAGGTCTATGTTAAGTATTTACAAGCCAGGCTTCTAATTTAGTCTTCCCCACCCTGCATCTCTGTCTCACCTTCCAGCCTCTTTCTTCCCAAGGCATTTCATCCAAACTGTCCCATTCCCTCTGTGCTTAATAAACTGCACTTCCAGCAAGACCCAGTAAACGTATTTATCTGTCCTGAACAAGGATGCTGCAGCGTTCTCATTTCCTTCCCAAAAGCCATGGGGAAGTCTGTTCCCTGGCCAGGAGAGCAGTCCTCATAGGATAAAACCGAGGGAAATGCTCTTTCCATGCTGAGGCTGAGCCTGGTGGATCTAGCCAGGGACACTTGGAGCATGCTGGTAAGGTGGGTATCCTCATCTTCTGCCTTTCATGGTCCTCTGCTTCGTTTGAAAGAACCCTGTTCTTCATTGCATGCATGTGGATCTGAGTTGCAGCATTGTCTTAAGTGTTTGGGTATCACCTTGTGCCTTGTGTATTTGCTGAGCAGTTCTCACTGTGTAATAGCGGGGAGCGTATTGAATTGCTCCTTGATGACATTTATATCTTCATTTGGAAGTTGGGCTTTGCAGCATTGTGGGGCTGTTAGAAACGGATGGGGAAAGCCATGTTCAAAATGCTTTTAAGATGGGGTGTCTGCTGCTTCCTCTGAAAGCCTGTGTCCATCAGCACAGGAGGACCAAACCATCCTGACACATCTAGTGGAACTGCTTTGCCTGTCAGGGTCTCTGAGTACTGCTGTTTGAGATGCAGGTGCTGGGTGTGCCCGTGGCCAGACTTCCACACAAATCCCTTTTGGCTTGCAGAGCATGCCAAATGGGATCATGAGGCATCTGAGGGTGGTCCTTCCCCTTTTTTCCCCAGTAGGAGTGTTATTCAAGAACTGGAAGAAAGCTGTTGGATTTGTCTTGAGCAGAATAAACTACTGCCAGTCCAGCGTGCTGATGAGGTTGGTTGTGGTTGTGTCTTTGGAGTGGGTGCTGCTAATGTGGCTGTAGCAGTGCTCTGACACTTGATGAATTAGGCATGAAAGAATCAGGGTGCTGGCTTCCACCCAGCATCTTCCATTTTGCTTAGCCTGCTGGCTGGGCAGGTCAGTGGGCTAGTGGGTTGGCTTATTTCTTTCTAGGCTGTGTGCTAGGTGGCCATAGGTATGGGGGTGGATTGAGAGATGGAAGCTTGTACTGAAGTGCCCTGGACTTGTGGTAGACTCATGGGCCCTGGGTGATGTTGAGAGTGTGTACAGTGTGTTTGGCACATGGGACAGGTTTAGGAGGTTGTGGCTCTGCATACAGGTAAAGCAATCAGCCCCTGAACAGCAGGATCTGTTGTGCTTTCTGGGTGTATGGCTTGCTCTAAGGTCTGTGAAAAGCACTGTGAGCCCTTTCTTGCCAAGCAGAATGGGTGCCTCTGGCTGTATTAGGACAGCTGAGACTGTTAAATCCAGGATGGTGTGTGCCTGCTCCATAGCCAAGTGGAGGGTGAGCCTCAGACTCTCCATCCTGGCTATTCCCAGCCTCTGTTCAGAGAAGCTCCAGCTGATGTCTTGGGAGGAGGACAGAAGCTCTCAGGTCTCTCACTAGTGCTGCATTGGAGCTGGTCTGGCTTTCTAGGTTTTTCTGCCCATCTGCTCTAAATCTGCTTTCTCTCTCAGGAGCTTTGCTTGCTTAACCATAGGGTTTAGACCCCAGTGGTGGGCTGGTGTGGTGTCTGGGGCTCACCCCAAGGCCATGGCCTTGCTGGTGGGATGCTCATCAATGAAGCAGGCAGTGCCCTAGTGCACGGGTTGCCAGCAGAGCGGTGCAGCGATGTTCCCACTCGTCCTGAACTCCCTGGGAAGGGATTTAGAGTGAGTGATCCTGGGTAGAGGTCAGTGGGCTGTTTGGTGTCGGGCAGCCCTGCCAGACCCTTGCAGGGCACCCTCAGCTGTGCCAAGGCTGCAGCCCTTAGTTTGGATCACTGCTCCTTCTTGGAGTGTCTGCTGGGTGCAGCATTGCTCACACCTGGCTTTTCAGCACAGCCAGCCCTCAATCCCAAGCTGTCTTGGCAGATCACCCCAAGACGTGGTGGAGAGAGCAGAGAATTGTGGCCCTTTAGGTAACCCCTTGTGTGGCTTTTAAAGTGGACACAGTTCTGCTCTGAGGGACCTGAATCTCTTCTTGCAGCAGGATGAGTATCCTCCATCTGCGAGTTAGAGCTTTGTTTCACACTGAAATCTGCTGGTAGTAGGCTGTTACTTAAAGTGCCTGTGGAAGCATATGCAGTTTACACTGGAATCTGGAGGCTGGAGTATCTGTGCCTTGAGACTTGAGTGGAATTTCTTTGCAAGTCTAATGAGCCCTTCATGCTCGTCAGAGATCAATCCACTGATTTTTCCCCTTTCCCTTCCAAGCTGTCCCCTCAGTAAGAGCAGTCATTACATGTGGTGTGGCTCCTGATTTCACTGTCTTTTCTTTAAATATCCAAGCAAAGGCAGCACCAGGGGATACATTCTGTTAAGGTAAAGGGATTATTGCTGCAGTTGGGCTAATTATTCCCATCTTTTCAGCTTCCCCACTGTACCTGCCCTGCCCTCTCTTCCTAGACCAGGTACTGCTATTTGTCCATCCTCTGTGCCTTTCCTCCGTGCTTTTCTTGCCTCGCTGCAGAGTGGTTGTAGGATTGCACCATCTGTGTTCAGGGAAGGTGGATCAGGTGGGTCTGTCCTGTTTGGCTGGTCAGTGTGTGTTACTCCAGGTGACTGCAGGTCTGCTGGCTGAGGATGCTCTGAGGCACATGGAGAGGACAGTGCCTGACGGAGGTTATTGCAGGATGATATGTAAGGGACAGGTTATACTAGTTCATATGAAGAAGGACTGTATTAAACCTTCAACACTTACGAGGGGCTTCATCACCTCTCCTGTATTCATGGCTTTGAATACTGTGTGTGTGACTTTGCCATGGGCTGCAGTTGCAGGACCTTCTGCCACTCGTCAGCATTTCACTTTATGGCTCGCTCCTGTTCCAGAGTGTCTGCCTGGAAGTGCCTGGTGTAATTTCAGATGGATTTCATCAGATCACTTGCTGCAGAATGAAGTTCCTTGAGGTGCTTGTAAATGGCTAAAAAAAAATAAAAAGCCTCTACCCAAGCCTCTACCCTGATCCTTGAACATGTCCGGCTCAGAACGTGCACGTTTGTTCAGAGTGGTGAAATTCTTCCCTTTGCAGGAAGCGTTTAATCTCTTACCTGATCAAAGCTTGACTTAGATCCTGGGTGTGTTGGTCTTGCCATGAAGTATGTGTGTGTCTCGCTCACAAGCAGCTCTGCTCCTCTGACAAATGTCACTTGATGTGAGCTTCCTCATACAGGGACCTCATCTGGGCAGCTGTGCACGTGCTCGGTGGAGCTGGGGGCAGAGGAGGTCTGTCCAGTGTGGATGGGAGGGCTGGGACTGGTTATCGGCATGGTGGTGTTAGAGCTGTGTGTCCAGGCTGACAGCTTCCTTGCACTGGTGACAACACATTCTTGTGCTGGTTTGCAGGGCTCAATGTTAGTGTGTTCCTTGTGTGATTAGTTTGAAGATACAGTGATACAGAAGAGGTGTGCTGAAAGAGCCTGTCCCAAGAGAAGGGATAATCTAGTGGGATGAGCTTCCTGGAGGTTGGTTTCTGGCTCTGGCCTTCTGTGAACTCTGGTGGCTGTGTGTCAGTGCAGGCTGGCAAGAGGAACCTCTGCATCAAAATGCAGCGTAGATCTGAAAGAGTGTGTATGGTCAGGAGCAAAGGCAACCCAAGATTCATAGCTGTAGCTTGTGTTCCTTCCCTAATGCTGACCTACCTCGTACAAAGTGCTGACCAGCTCCCTGTAGGTGCTGAGGATTTTATTACCCTCCCACTGCAGATCCTGGATGTGATGGGGTAAGAGCTTCTGGGACTAAGTTACCTTTGTGTATTAAGGTGAGATCTCCAATGGTGCTGGTTTATGTGGCTGTGTTACAGAAGCGGTGCTTTACGTGCTCTCTGCTGGTAGCTGTGTTTTGTGGTGTCAGACATCAGGTGTTAGTGAGCCTAAAGCTGGGATTTAACCCAAAATCAGAATGGCCTTTTGTGGTTCGTTTTCAGCTCCCACTTACTTTACCCTAAGCAAGTTCTGCCCTCTGAAGTTACTGCCTTGCATGCGGTTTTACCTGCTTCCTCATCAGCATGACAAACGATGCTGCCCTGGAGCTCGCTGCAGGGGGCTGAAGAAGTCGATTTTAACAAGGGACATCTCCAAATGGGGCAGAAACCGAAGTGCCTTTCCCTTGGCATCTTCTGGTGCAGTGCTGGAGGGCCTCACAGGCATGTATCACAGAAGTATTAAGTGCTGCTGTTGGGAACAGGAAGGAAAGCAGGGAAGAAGTCCAGCTGAAAGATCTGCTCGAGTGTTGCCAGTAGCCACTGCTCATCAGTAAGCAAGAGAATAGGTTCAGAAAGGATGGGACTGAAACAGGGTGTTCTGGGCTTCCAGCATGGGAACTGTCTCACCTGCAGCACTCTGAGCTCCATCACTGCCTCTTATTCTATGGCTTTGTAGCCTGCTTTACCTGAGCTTTGCTTTTACTGTTAGCTGAATTTCCCCACCAGCTCCTCCCTTCCCCCCAGGTTCCTCCAGGCGAGAGGCAGAGCCATGAATACTGTTGAATGTGAAGGCACTTATTAATGCTTAATCTCTCAAATATGGCACTGCTTTTAGTGTGTCTAATAATAGGGTTTATTGTCACGGCTGTCTGAGGTCCGTGCTCAGCTCCAAAGCACATTTCCTGAGTTATTGTTGCTCGTGTACTCCCCTTATGGAGGGGCTTTTGATTCCATGGGCTTGTTTGCTCTGTCAACCTCCAAGAGCCTCTTGATGCTTATTTTCATAAATGGGAGACTCCTGTACTGTGGTTGTGGCTGCGTTATGTGCAGATCATGGAGCCATGGAATGGTTCAGCACCCTGGATCACCCTTCCTGGTCCATCCTGGAGTGCTGCTGCCTCCCTCGGTAAGGCTGTGACAAAGCACTCTGGCTCTAGGTGTGGTCAGAGCCTCTGCAAGGACCTGCTCTGTTCATGCACTGAAACGCCAGCAGCCCTGTATATTCCAGCCTTTGTATTACAGATTGAGAGAAAGCTCATGACCTTATGAACATGAATGGATCCCTTGTAACCTGAGAGCTGGAGCAACATTATTTTAAGCAGGAAGTAAGGCTCTGCAGCACATGTGACAGCAGAGCTGCATTTAGAGCTGAAAGGGGATAAAATCCCTGAGGAGACTGATGGCACCTCATTTACTTTTAACAAATGTAGTGGGAAAGATTGAGCCAGAATTCCTCAGCTGGGGCAGTTTCCACCTTTCATCCCTGTGGAAAGGACCATTGCCAGCAGCCAGCCTTCCTCCTAATTCCTGGGGAGGATGAAATGTACATGGTTTCTGATTTATTTTAAACTTGCTCCTCCTTTAGCCTTTGGTGAGGAGGGGAGATAATGGTTTTACAACTCTGCCTGAATTTATGGCCTGTGTTCCCCTGAGGGTTGTCACTGTTCACACTGCCTGCGTCTGCTTTTGTTGCAAAGCTGCTTGTCAGCTCAGTAAAACTAGCATCAAGACAAGCCAGATTGCTACCTGATCGCCATCCCCAGTGACCCAAATTGGGCCAAGACCAGCTGGAGAGAGACATCCCAGTGCTAAGCAAGGGTGTTTTGGGTACAGAGGTTTTGACTTGCTGTTCATCCTCACTTGAAATGCCTTGTTTGCATGGTGCAAACTTTGCTTCTTTGTAATGAGAAATAAAGGTACAAATGAAGCTTCTGTTGGGTTGTTCTTTTTGAAGTAAAAGCTCTGCATCTCAAACCCTGATAACTTGTGCTGGGTATTGGGAGATGCTGCTGCTGCCCACTGCACTGCTAACTGTTCATGCATGCTGTATGAAACCCAGGGCTGGAACAGGCACCAGTTCCCAGCAATAACATGACAAGGGAGATGTGAGAGCAGCAGAAATGCTTGATGAATGTCCTATTGTTTGTGTCTTTTGGCCTTAACAAGAAAAAAAAGGCATTCAGGAAACACACTCTTGACTTTTGACCTCATATGAGACGTCTCTTTGTCACAAAAAGCAAAAGTAATGTAGCAAAGCTAAACAGAAGCTTAAAATTCCCCCCTTTGAGCCCTGTCTTGTTGCATGGTGAGTGCTGGAATGAGGGCAAGTCCTGCTAAAGCCCTGAAAACTTGTGAGGTCTGTCGTGTTTGTTTCTTTCTGGGGTAAGAAACCACTGTGTCAGGAGTGTGTGACTCGTTCCCTGTATTTATAGAGAGCTTGTCCTGGTAAAGCATCCGCTGCATTCCGGTGCTGTCAGTCATCCCTGGGATGCTGGAACTGGACACTATGGGGCCAAAGGCTATTTGGTGCCCAGTTTGGGTATCAAATGGCTAAAAGTAATGGCTTGGTGAAGTAAGCACTGTGGACAAGCCATGTTGTGAGGGTTTCTCACAGGTTGTGTAGGGACCTGTGTTCTTGCTGCTGTAGTTTTTCATAGAGTCATGGAATGGTTTGTTTGGAGGGACCCTAAAGCTCATCCAGTTACATGGGCAGGGACACCTGCCACTAGAGCAGCTTGCTCCAAGCCCCTGTGTCCAACCTGGCCTTGAACACTGCCAGGGATGGGGCAGCCACAGCTTCTCTGGGCACCCTGTGCCAGCACCTCAGCACCCACACAGGGAAGAGCTTCTGCCTAAGAGCTCATCTCAGTCTCCCCCCTGCATCTGCAATCTCTGCAGCCAGGAGCTCTGCAGTCTTGGATCCTGCAGAAGTGAAACAGTGCTCCCTGGGAAAACTCACCTGACTTGGCTTCTTCCCTGGGACAGGCTTTCTGTCAATGGAAGAGTGATGCCAGCCACAGTGGTATTGCAGTAGCTGGAGCAGATGGTGCTGTTGTCATTGTTTTAATGTGGATCCATGTGTTAAAACAGCTCAAAATGGCTAAGAAATGAAGGCCAACCTGAGAAGATTCCTTGAATAGTTACCTTGCCCTGAGAAGATTGATGTCCGCAGCACTTTCCTGCTTCAGTCACTGAGCAGGATCACTCACATTTGCCAGCTAGAGGTGTGGCAGGAAGAAGGTTTTACATTTAATATCTTCATTACTGTGGCAGCATTGAATATTCACAGGTGCAGCAATTCAGGGCGCAGCAAATGTTGTCAGCACCGTGAAATCAAAGGAAGAGGAGCAGCAGAGATCAGAGCAATAAACGTGTACGTTGTGACAGGCTGAAGTCATTCCTCCAAGACAGTACCTTGGCAGAGGCTGAAGGCAAAACCTGGATGGAGGCTCATGCTGGCATCACACACCTTCACCCTCTGCTGTGCTGGTGCTCTAAAGCCAGGGTGAGATGCCCTGTAGCACCACTGCCACACACCAACTCGGCTGGTAAGGGTTCAGTTTCTGCTGGTTTAGTGCCTTGAACCAGCTCCTAGTGGGGAGCTGGAGCAGTTGGAGGTGTAAGGAATAAGGACCAAGCCTGGCTGGTGGAATTGCAGCCTTGCTCTGCTCACTTCTGCGGCAGGGGCCTCGCTCTTTTCGTCTTTCCACAGTTAAAACATTGCTGCTCTGAGGCCAAGGAATCTATTTTAGGCCCTTCCTGTGGTGCTGCACACATGCACACATTGCTGCCTTGGTTAAGGTGGAAGGCGATATCAAGTGCCCAAATTTTCAGGTCCATTCACAGGTGTAAGTGAAGTTTTCTTCTCTTAACATTTTCTTAATTTAGGAAGCTTCTGGTTGCACGTTGATCTCAGCATCAGCGTCATTTCAGCTTAGCACCAACCACAGCAGCGTTGTCTGCCTTTGCTCAGGGAGAGGTAGGGGAAGGAAGCTGGTCTGCTGCCTGCACCCAGACCAGCTGGAGAGTGCAGGCGCCTCACCACCCTCCCAGTAAAGGGCTTCTTCCTTGTATCTAACCTGATCTTCCCCTGTGTAAGTTTAAACCCATTACTCCATTAGGTAAATATTGGGCTTTTCCATCATTTTCTGTTCATCAGATAATTCCTGGTGCAAGCCTGAGTGCTGGTGAGCAGCAGGGAGGATGCTCTGATTTCCAGTGGCTTGGGCTGAGCCTGGGATAGGAAAAGTCAAAGAGAATTAGCTGGTAAATAAGATCTTCTGCCTTCTTTTTGATCCGCTCTGCATGTTCAACTGCTTAAAGGCTTCCCAAGCAAGCAGGATTTTGAGGGAGGAAGAATTTATCCACAGAGTATGTCATGGCTCTGTGAAATGCAGGATACTCTAGCAGGGGGCTGGGGGGAAATCCAAAGGTAAATCCTGCCAAAGAGGCTTCTCTTCTGTTCACAGAGAGCCTGCTGAGCAGACAGGGCAAGCTTTAAAACTGCTGGGGCTTCCTTTTGCTGCGCTGTAAGCCCCTCTGATGAGAGCTTTAATCTACTAAAGTTAGTGGCCTTAGAGACAGCCTGATCTTTGCATAGTAGTCTGGAATGGGAAAGGTGATCCAGAGAGCTGACACCCACTGTCCCCAGCCTGCTCTGTGACAAGGCTTTACGTCTCTGCTCTCCTTGCAGGAAGATGGAGATGGATCTTAGGCAGAAGCTCTTCCCTGTGAGGGTGCTGAGGCGCTGGCACAGGGTGCCCAGAGAAGCTGTGGCTGCCCCATCCCTGGCAGTGTTCAAGGCCAGGTTGGACACAGGGGCTTGGAGCAAGCTGCTCCAGTGGAAGGTGTCCCTGCCCGTGGCAGGGGCTGGAGCTGGAGGAGCTTTAAGGTCCCTTCCAACACAAACCAGTCTGGGATTCTGTGAATATGGGAATAATGATGTCTTTGGTGACCACTTCATGCTTTTGTCCTTAGTGATTGATGCAATTTTCGGGTTGCTATTCCTGCATTTCAGAACACTTGTCAGGTGATTCCCAGCATGTTCCTATTCTTGGAAGATGCCACCTTCATGGCACCCTTTTATTTGGACAGAGACATGCAGATAAAACCATTTCCCATCTGAGTCTTGCAGCTCAGGCTGGACTTGTGTCCCTGGATAAGCCTGTCTCCTAATTGCCACTCTGCTTGGAGGCAGCTGCTGAGCTGGGCCTAAGCTGCTTTGAGATGGCAAATTCTGTTAGTTTAATTCTCAGCAGCTCTGAGGAACTTGTGAGCACGTGAGCATCCCTTGGCTTTTCTCTAGCATGCCCTGGAGACCTTTGCCAGCTGGTGACCCCAGCAGTCAGTTCCCGGGGCTCTTGGCTGTGCCTTTGTAAGAGCTATTTACTGACAGCTTCCCAAATCCTTGTGTCTTTGAGCCCAGCTTTTCTCTTCCCTTTTGATGCTGTCTGTACAGAATTGTGGCATTTCATTGCATGGGGCTTCTGTGCCCTCTTACCACCCTCACCTTTCCCCATCTCCTTCCCAGACCTGGTAATATGCCATGACCTGGTGTGGGAGTTGTTTCTTGCCTGGTTTCAGTAACCTTTGGGTCCCAGGTGGGTGTGCATGAAGCCAGTGTGACCCTCTTGGCTGTGATGGTGTTCCTGGGCCTCAAAGCTGTTCTGCTGCGAGTGCAAACCCACCTCATGTCTGCATGGGAGATGTCCAGCTCCCAGAGAAAGGAGTCACTTAAGCTATAACATGGGGAAAATGTGGGGAAAAAGAGCAAAAAACAGGTGACAAAATGTACATTTTTGAGACTGTTTCTTTTTCCCTCCTATTGTTGTAAGAGGCATTTGTCTGTCTTTGAACTTGAAGGAATTTTTTCTAGCTTTTTCCAACTCCAAACTCCATGGAGTTTCTCAGCTCCCTGCATATGAGTGGCTGTGATTAATGCTATCACTGTCCATATTCCTGCCTCTGTCAGCTTCTCGGAAAAGCAGTGCTTGGAGATGTACACAAAGATGAAAAGGAAGTTGCTTATGAATTATGAACAACCTTTCAGGCTGATGCTGCTTCATGGGGCTGTCACTCCATTTTAATGGTGTAATTCAGACGGACTGATGCTCTATTTGAAAGCCTGTTTGTGTTTGATCACCTTTCAGAGGTAACACTCGCATAGCTTATGTTTGGTGAGTATGTTTTCAAAGAACGAGCACTCACTCATTAGTACTGAGGAGGAGGAGGGCTGTGCCTGAGCACACAGCACAGGAGCCCAGGAGGCTTCACTCTGTCTGGATGATGCTTGGCCATTCTGTGGCTGGTGTGAGAGCTGGTTGGACCCATTGGTGTGTACCAGAGTGTGCAAATCCAGCTGGGATCTTTCATTGCGCTCGCCTTCTGCTGAAATCTCTGTGTTTCCTTACACTGTGTGGCTGTAACCCCCCTGTGCTGCAACAGATCTGCCAACACCTCCTTTATTTTGGGATTTGTGCATATGTAAATGGAGCCATTCCCACACTCGTGATCCCTGGAGCTGCGCAGTCAGGATTGCTGCACATCCAGGCCCTGCCTCTGTGACCGGGATAATCCCAGGGCCTGTTGATCCTAGGGCTGTAGCTGGAGTGGGGTGCAGCTGCTGACCCATTCCCTTGGCCGGGCGTCGTGGGAGCACCCGTCTCCTGGCACCAGCCTGCTTGCGGGGACGCCTTTTTGTTCTCCTTTGTGACAGTGCTGCTGATGCGTGGCACAGATGACACAGTGCTGAGCACCACGGAATCCCAGCTGTGGGGTACCAGCATCTCAGCCACTGGGCCACTCTCAATAGGGTATGTTGTTTTCAGCCTGCCTTTTAGTTACCTTTAGTGCAGAGAAACCTTTTGCCAAGGGATTAAGACTTTGGGGCTGCCCGACTTCCTTTGACATCTGAGTCCTGCTGGGCAGAGAGGTGGTTTGTGGTGGTGGCAGCGGGGTGAGGGCTCTGCTGTGGCTGTGCTGGCAGTGATGGGTCCTGGCTGCACTCCAAAGAGATGTCGGGATGCCCGTTTGCTGCCTGTGCTGGAATTGCTGCTGCAGACCGGGCCTGGGGCTGTGTGCAGCCTCATTGTCTTCAATGCAGAGGGGTCACCAGGCAGCAGGGACATGCTGCCTTATGGGAGAAGTTTCCTTCCAATGCCCGGGGCTGGTTTATGCCCTATAAACAGGGCTTACAGGTGTTCATGTATTTCATTTATTTATTGATTTAATTTTCTTTTGTAAGTCGGGTTTGCTTGGGTCTTTCCTGTTCTCCTTTCCTCTTTATGAAGCAGTGTGTGTAGCTGTTGTCTTGGTTCCTTTTGGAGGAAGGCTGCAGCAGTGTTCAGTGTGGGCTGTGCTGGGCGAGGGGTTTGCCATGCACCAAGCTTTGCTCGAACAGTGTGCTTTTGCTGCTGTTGCCAGAGCACACCAAGCCATTTTTCTGATGCCTTCAAGCCTAGCAAGCTGCTTAGAAAAGACATTTGCAGGATGGGCAGCAGGGGAAGAGCAGTGCTTTAATTCTGGCTCAGTTCTGGGCATAGGTGCAGGATGGTGGCAGGGATGTGGCTCTGGAGGAGAGGAAGCCAGGTCAGGCTGGCATGGGTTTGGACAAGCAGTGGTGGTGGGTTTGCAGGCAATGTGGGGACCGTCACCTCGAGCTGGAAGGCTTTGATGTCAGAGCCTGTGAGAGCAGTGGTTGCTTTCAGTATCCTTGCCAAACTCCACAAGGAAAATATTTCTTTCCTCTTTAAATGTCTTGTGGGCCTTGAGCTGACTAATAGCTTTCATTTCCTCTCCTCAGCTTGAGTACTGTCAATGGCTGTTAAAGGGTCACATCATTTCACTTAAGGCTTTTCCTTATGGCTTTGTG